TATTTCTTACTCAGAATGAGTTTAATTAATTTGTAATAGCACTTTATGCATATGCTTCCCTGACATTTTCACACTTTATGCTAATATGTGATTGTCATATCATTTTATTCATTTTGTGACTAACTTTCAGTTGGAGTTTTTTCATATACGGCCTTTTTTATTTAATTTACCACACGTACCCTGGCCGTTCGCATTTCTCTTGCACAGCCTCTTCCCGGTTTACAGAGCAGCTGGCTGCTGCATCTGCGCTTGCGCGAGCTGCCGCCTCGCACTTGAGTAGTGCCTCATCTTCGTCGGACACGCCTACCAGTTGTGGTCAACATGTAACACCAAGTCAGAGTCCAAGCAAAACAGAAACCTCCAGCTCTTCTGCTGGACGTTCCTCAATTGTGTCCTCACCTGTGATCATCATTGGCTCTAGTCCCCCCACCAATAGCATGTCTACCGTTTCCACTGTAGATACTGGCAACAGTGGTGGCATCGCTTCCGCTAGTGGACAGGCAAATGAACAGGCCGCCCCTGGGGGCTCCCGATCCACTGGACACGTTACTACCTCTACAGTTTCCGGCCTAATGGCGAGCCCCACTGCTGCTGGATTTAGCTCTGCGGTATCGCTTACTAGTCTATCCAGTGTGATTACTACTCTTCCCCCCACCTCCACTACTGCTTCTTGCAAAAGTTCAGCGGCCTCTAGTCCAAATGGGTCTACTGGCTTCCAACTTACTGACTTGAAACCTGCTCTCAGTCTTCTTGATGACTCGGAATCTTGTCTAGCAGCTATATCACAAATGCCGCCACCATCGTCATCCTCGCAGCCAATCACTGCAAATGCGCAGCAGCAACAACAGCATTCAAGCAGTGCCTTGTCTTCTTTGACGCCTATCAGTCCCACATCAGCCGGTCGGCTCTCGGCAATGGCAGCTGCGGCAGCAGCAGCAGCTGCAATCACTATGTACCCAAATCCCAATACACATCTATTGCAGCCTGTTCAGACATATGCTGCAGGCAGCTCTTTAGCTCCAGTAGCAACTAGTGTTTCGGGTACCTCCTCATCCTCCACTGCTTCTGCATCGATGAGCGCAACCGTTGCCACTGCTGCCACTACTAATACCAGCAACACTTCTTCAATGCTACCACAGGCATCTGGAAGATTAGGCTCTGCATCCTCTTCTCGAACTTCGTCGCAAACTCATCTTTCCTCCAGCCTTCAATCATCCTCATTCTCATCTGCAGCGGCAGTTGCGGCCGCCTCTCTTCTACACCATCCACACCAAGTGGCTGTTCAACGACAACAAACTCAAGGGGTAGGCTTGAAAGTTTGTGAATGATCTGAAATATTTGGATTAGTTTTGTCTACATTTTACTATTTACTAACTGGCAGGGTCCACCAAGAATGACCTAAGCATCGTTAGTGGGATATTAGGCGACGATTATCTAAAATAAAATATGAAAGCAAAGGATAAGTCAGATTTCTTAGCTCAGCCATTTTACAAACTCTCAACAATTTGGATTGAAGACATTGCACTATAAAAACTTATGCAATTACGCCATTTTTTGGCAAATCAGCTTAGCATCCCCGTTGCACTCTTGCTGTTATTTTTATACTTGAGTCACTTGTGGGCCGGTGTTTTCATTATCCAAGACATATTTTAATCAAAAATGTGTGCAGTCTATTAATTTTCTGTTATAATTTAATCCAACTATTATTTTTGGATAGAGAAATTGTTTAATCTGTGATAATCACGTTTTATTCTGGATCGGGTCGTCGGTCAGTTATATTCTAAAGCATCTCGATGACTACTTAGCTGCATTTATAATGCGGATATCTATATAAGGCAACCCAGTCCTTTGAAGTGATCTTCTTGACGATGCCGGTCAAATGCCTTAGTGTACCCGGACAAGTAGATAAAGTAGATGAAATTACAACGAAGGATGAAAAATAAATGACTCAGAACACGTTCCAAATTCTACTACCTGCGGCTATGTTGCTTAACCGAGGTTAATCTAGGTCAGATATTTTCACTTTTAAAGTGGTGAAAATTCATCATTAATTAAACCGGGACCCACTTTTTCTGGGGAAGCTGAGCCCGTCTTTCAAACTTTTTTTCACAAGCCTAATTCATATATAAAAATAAAAATTTAAGCGGTATTATTAGCCTCGATTCACTCTAATTTAAATGTTCTTCGATCGAATAATGATAATGTTCATCAGCTTAATAGCGTCATTTCAAATATAGTATTTAAGTC